ACTCACTACTAACTACAGCTATGGCAGCTATCGCTGCATCTAACCTATCGCTATGCTAACTCCCTCTCTCTTGCCCACTGCTTCCTCCGGGCTCAACTGCAGACCTCCTTGCACAAGTCGCTGTGGCAGCGCTTCCGCATGGCTCACGCAGGAATGAATGAATGGCTGGGCGCTGCCTCTTGATTTATACTTCAGAAACTCGTTGGTCTGCCCTTTGCCATCGGCCCATGGTGCTCACAGTCCCCCCGAGGTACTTGCTGGACCGGACTGGGACTGACTGGACCTTCTGCTGGACTCACCGCTATCCTACCAATGCTGTACTGCTGTTGCACTGCGGTTTAGTCCACCACTTGCCTTGCCACTTGACCACTTGCCCACTTGCCTACCTTCTAGAAGGTCTACAGCTAAGCTTCCGGAACTCACTCAGACTCCTACGCTATAGACCTACGGATCGAACCCCTGCTGCCTATGGACCTACGACAGGTCTACCAACTGTCTACGAATACACAGGTCACACGTTCAATTCTCGGGGTCTACACAGATACTGTACATGGGTAGGGTGAGGTCTAGGGATCGAACCCTGGGTACTGCATCCGCTACTGCTAAAAGGTGAAAACCGTTTCACTCCCGCCGTCCTAAATTCGAGGTCCTCCGAGAACATTTCAGTCCAAGGCGGGACTTTTACCTTTCTTGTCACGTTCATATGCTCTGACTATGTCGGGAGCGGTATCTAGAAGTTCTGTTTTCGTGAACCAGCGGTCGTCTTCCGGTTCCTGGTAGGCAAACCGGACTTTATACTGTTTCTGGGGACGACCTCTACCTCCTGTCCTAAACACATCCTCTTCTACAATGCCCTCTATGTCATAGCTCCCATCCATATCTGGTGGGCTCATGGATCTCCTGGAAGGGAACTGTTGACTAGTGACACACGGCAGCAGCTTTGAAGCATGAAACACAGGGTATGTGTGGAGGTGTGCTGGAATCTCAATGCTGTAGGACGGTCCATCCTCTCCGCCCTTGACTTCTAAAACCGGCCACGGTCCTCTATATGCAGGTAGTAACTTCTGCTAGATGTTTTCTTCCGGTGCGAACTCTTCTGCCTTGACCCAGACTAAGTCGCCGACTTGAAACTGTGATGGGCGTCGGTGCTTGTTAGCCTGCTCTATCATTCTGTGCTGGGCCTTCCGAAGGTTCTCAACAGCAGTGGCTAACTCCTTTTCGTGCTGTATCGCAAACTCCCTGGTACCGGGCGGTAATCTGTGAATCTGATCCCGGTTCAGTCCTTCGAACGGTCTGCGCGGTCTAAAGGACTTGTGCAATTCATTGGGAGTGCGGCAGGTGGATAGATGCACGCTGTTGTTGTATGCACTAGCTACCTTAGGCAACATCTCATCCCAGTTAATCTGATCTGGTCTAATGTACATGYGCARAACTTGCTGTAGGATCTTGTTCATCTGTTCTGTCTGACCGTTAGTCTCTGGGTGACGGCCGGACAACATTAACAACTTAGATCCGTAGACTCTCATGAGTTTTTGCCAGTTCCGGCTGGTGAAACGACTGTCTCTATCACTAACTATTGACAATGGGATTCCATTCTCACTAACCCAATAGTCAAAAAACTTCTGTATAACTAAATTTGTACGTGCCTCTGCAGGCAAAGGAACAAAAACTGCATATTTGCTAAAGCGGTCAACTATGACCATGACTTGGCTCTTACCATGTCTAGTCTTGACTTAGATCCTCTGGCACACTTTACAACTGCGGACATACTCTATGCAGTCATTCTTCATCCCTGGCCAGGTATACGCACGCATCAGGTTGGCTAATGTCTTTTGCCAACCGAAATGCCCTTCAGTATCGTGGCATTCCCCTAAGATTAGACTGCGAATCTCTTCGCTGTTGGGGATGCACAGGCGATCAAACACATTAGTCTTCTCGAACAACAACCCATCTGTAGTGCGGTAATCTGGTTCAGTCTTTGGGACCTCTCTAACTCTCTTTAGGAGGTCGCTATAGATAGGGTCCTGTGCATACGCTTGCTTCACTTTCTCTTGCAGGTCTCTCCCTATATCCAGATAGTGTACTACGGCTCCAAAGTAGTATGAACTCCTACTCAGAGCATCCGCAACTACGTTGAGCTCAAAGTCGAATTGGTCTATCTCTGCGGCCCACCTAGTTAACTTAGGTGTCATCTTGGCCTGAGTCTTTAACCATCTAAGTGTTTCGTGGTACGAATACACTTTGAAGTGCCTCCCAAGCAGGTAGTGCTTCCAATTATCTAAAGCCTGCCTGAGAGCGTAGAGTTCTCTCTCTTACGTGGAGGTAGCGACCTTTTCACAGGGCATCCTCGCTGACATGAACTCTACGGGTCTATAGGCATTGCCGTCGTCTTGCTGCAACACGGCGCCTATCCCATATTGACTTGCGTCCGTGGTAACGACAAATGGCAAGGACGGATCTGCTACTTTGAGGACAGGATATTCTATTAACGTGCGCTTTAACTTCTTGAGCGCGGACGTACAATCTTTATCCCATTGCCAGATTGCCTCTTTCTTTAGCAGTCTGCGCAAGGGGGCGGCGATAGTGGAGAAGTTCCTCACGAACTTCCTATAATAGTTCGCTAAGCCTAGAAACGATCGCAACTTTGTTAATGTGCGGGGCGTCGGCCAGTCTCTAATCGCCGCGATCTTGCTGTCCTCTGTCTTAACGCCATCTCCGTCCACTCGTGGCCCAAGTACAAGACTTGCGTCTTGGCTTACTCGCACTTCTTCGCATTGATCTTGAAGTTAGCCTCTCTAAGCTTCTCCAAGACCTGCCTCAGATGACCCTGGTGCTCTTGGAGGGTCTTACTAAAGACTAGAATATCATCTAAGTAGACTACTACAAATTTATCTAACCATGGTCTAAACAGGTCATTCATACAACGATGAAAAGTAGCTGGCGCGTTGGTTAGTCCAAAGGGCATCACTACAAACTCATAATGCCCATATCTAGTCTAGAATGCCGTCTTGTACTGATCATCAGGATGGACTTCTATCTGATGGTATCCGGACTTTAAGTCTATCTTAGAGAAATACTTACAACCCTGCACCCGATCTAAAAGATCGTCTATCCGGGGCAGCGGCTCAGCATTCTTCACTGTGATCGCATTCAAACCCCTATAGTCTATACACATACGAAGTTCTCCTTCCTTCTTGGGGACAAACAAAACTGGTGCTCCGAAAGGAGACGAACTGGGCCTGATCCAACCCTTCTCAAGGAGTTCGTCTAACTGCTTGCGAAGCTCCTCTAACTCTCTAGGGGACATCCTGTAGACGGCACCCTTAGGAGTTCGACTGCCAGGCTCTATCTCTATCCTGTGCTGGATGGGTCGCGACACTGCTCCTGTCGGCGACTCAGTCAAATCCTTGAACTCTTCCAGCAACTTGGCAATTGTTGGATCTGTGGAACTATCCTTTTCCTGGCCCTCGGTGACAGGTCTAACATACACTACAAAGACCTGTTCCTCTAACCGCTCCTTTCTCACCAATCGCGCAAACGCGGGGGCACTGAGACAGCAATGTGCCAAGGTGTTATCTACACCAGACACATGGAACAGGCGGGCAGTCTTAACTTCGCCTGTCGGGCTAGGGAGCCTACACTCATGCTCTCTCAAATGAAGTGTGGCCCCTGCTGCCTCTCCCCAATCCATTCCCAACACTATATCAAAAGGAAGGTCATCTTGTACGAGGAGAGTCAGGGAATGGAGAACTTTCTCCACCTTCCCATCCTTCTCTAGGCGAAAATACGTCTGGACTCCCTCTACATAGTCCTCAACTCGCATCGTGCGGTTGTCTGCGAGGACACTGACTATGGGTTCTACTAACTTCTGGACTTTTAGTCCTAGCCTCAACTTCTTCAACGCCCTACGGCTAATATAACTACGGGTAGCCCCTGAGTCTATGAGGGCCCCTACTCTACTTCTAAAAACCTCTACATCTACCAAAATCAGATGTCCTTTACTCTCCTTTTTCATTTTGGCCCAGGCTGGCATCCTCTCCGTTAACTCTTCTGCCACACCTGTGAGGGACGTGCCTAAAGAGACGCTAACACAGGTGGTCTCTGGACAGCTATCTAGGCACGGGCCTACAACCTTTGCCATAGGCTCATGTGGGTTGGGAGTGTCCTGTTCGCGCGCGCTCACTTCTCCACATGGCCCGGAAGTAGGGGCAGTTGCGACCCCTACTGGCGGCTGCCTTTTGCCTGCTGAGCAGCCCAACGGGCCAGTCTATATTTTGGACAAAATTTAATTACGTGCGCCGGGTCACCACAGAATACGCACTGACCCATGTTCACGCGTTCCTGCCATAATCGCTGGTCCAAGCCCAAGTCTTCCCAGGGCCTGCCCTGTGGCAAGCCTGGGTGCCATCCTCCTTGAGGTGCCCTTCCACCTCCTCGCTGTGGGGACCGATTACCTTGGCGATTTAACGGGGAACCTTGACCCCTACCTCCCGCTTGGCGGTTTCCCTGTTCGCCAACCCCCTGTGCGCCTGGTCCTCGGCCTCCTATGGTCTGGCCCCTTTGGCCCTGGCCTCCTCCTATACCTTGCGGCCTCCTTCCGGCCGCGACAGCAGCGTAAAACCTCCCCTGCCCTACACTACTGTACTCCTCCCCTAGGCCCCACTCAATCTGGTCATATGGAACCTCTTCTGTACCACCCTCCTCTAATGTCAGGATCAAGTGATCCTTGGCCTTGACTTGGCCCGATATGGTACGATCCTTCCACTTCTTCCCCTTCTCCAGGTCCTTATGCCAGAAAGTGGTATCTGTCATAGACTTGGACTCATACAGGACGACTTCTCTACTCAATGCATCGTAAGTGATCCCGGCCTGCTGAGATTTGTCAAAGAAATGCCCGCGTAGGGCCTCTGGAATGGCACGATAAAACAACTGGAGCAGCTGGGGCTCAGTGACCCCATGGTCCGGGACGACTACCAAGTCGTTCATTGTACCCTTGAGTGCCTTGGCACTCCTCCATTGCCGTGAGTGGATCGTTTGGAGCTTGTCAAAGGCTCTTATGCCTCGCGTTGGGTCAGCGAAACGCTCCTTGAGGAGCTTGAGGAATTGGGAAAGAGGGGTGACTTTGGAATATGCAACCAGGTTGTTTTCACAACCGGCTGTACGCGCAAGAGACCTRGCGAARCTAGCCGCGTCATCTTTSAGGGCCTGRAAGGCCACGAGGACTTGTTCCYCYATYAGGATATGCTGYARGTARATATAACTATTGACACTGGCTTCCCAGTTGTCAAAGTTTTCTTCCTTCTTTCCCCCGTAGGCATCTGGGAACTTAAGTTTCACTGGGTCCTTACGGGGTCTGGCCTCTCCCTCAGCGGCTACAGCTTTGGCACCCTGAATGGCGCCCTCACAAAACTTCCCTACATTGTCTCTCAACTGTTTGACTTCGCCCCCAATATGGGTGACGATCTCGCGCGCAAAGTCTCTAAACGTTGACTGCATGGCACTCAAGGCTACATCTTGGCTCCAGCTGGCCTGACGCTCTTCCATCCTGGCCTTGCTCAACACATCCAGGTACCCCAGTACTTTGTCCCACTTTGCCTTATCATTCGGCTAGGCCATCACCTCTTGCCTGCATGCTTGCACCTTCGCCACCTCTGCAGTCATTCTACTCACTTCCTCTCTCCTCCTCTTCTTCTCTCGCTTCATCCTCAAACTTCCATGCCAATTTCTGCTCTTCCTCCCTTTCTCGCCTTTCCATAGGATCTGTCATTGTTGCGAGCTCACTGGCTAGTGCCGCCCTCTCATCCTCAGTCACGTAGGACTCCGCCTCTTCCTCTTCACCCAACGATAAATTAGCGACCAACTCGCTGATCTTCTTCTCCATCTCAATATCTGACTCCCTCTTCATCGTGCCACTACTGCTTCCTTCTCCACTCTCAATCCTCATTCTCTCCTTTTCTTCTTCTGTTGCCGCTTCTTCTTCAGCAGCCTTCTCCTTCTTCTTCATCTCCTCCTCCACTTCCTTCATCTTTGCCGCCTGCTCGTCTGCGATAGCCTTGAGTTTCGCCTGCTTCTCACGCTCTTTTCTTTCCCTACTCTCTTTTACTATGGCGGCCATCTTCGCTTGCTGCTCAGGGGTATAGGGACTAGTCTCCTTCCCAGTGCGGGTCTCAACCATGGTGATAAGTGTACAACCAGGTTAGAGGTTCCAAACCTCACCACGTAGATGCCAACCCCTGACTGACAGACCTACTGACTCAATCTAAGACTCACAGAATCCTGACAGGGATCCTGCCAACTAGGATCTCTAGCCTAGACCTATGCTATGGCTGTCACTACTGAACCAGTGGCTGATCAGGAGGCATTTAAGGAGATCCCTTGTAACTCCTCAAGAATTCTTTAACGTCGCAGACAGGACGACGTGATCAGCTTGGTTCTGCCAGTGCTTTCAGCCCACAACTCGGCCTTTTCGGCCTACTGTGCCACACCGAGCAGCCCGCCGGTCTGTACCGGTTCTTGGGAGGGTTTGACCTCCGGGACAGTCGAGTCGTCAGACACAGATCATCAGCCTTACTTGGTCTGGTAGGGGAGTGGTTCAAACAGGCCCTCAACACGTAAAGACTGCCTGGTGTGTCAGCCCTAACTGCCGTTCAGGCCCACTGAGTCCTACCAACCGTTTCCAGCCGGTCAG